TCAAGGGCCTGAATAAACTGCTGAAAGAAGATTCCTGAGTCTCGTCTTCCTTGCGGGCAAGGGGGTCGTGACAATTACCCAAATAGTTTTGTTTTGTGTGTATGTGGGATGGGAGGTAGATATTGACAAAACTGTTTTTTTCTTTCCTTCTATCCTCTGACTGAAGAAACAGGCTTTTTTTTTTTGTCATTACTTCTTGATGTTTGGGGTTGGAGACCTGGACAGTTACCTGTTTTTTGTTGTTGTTGTTGTTGTTGTTTGTTTGTTTGTTTGTTTGTTTTTATTCTTTGCAGTACTGGGGATTGAACCCAGGGCCTCACAAATGTTAGGCAAATGCTACATTCTCATCCTGGATCACCTGTTTTGAATTTTGTTTTGAAAGACTAAGTTTATTTGAACATTTTTATTTGTTTTAGTGTTATTAACACTGGTTCAGGGAGATTTTACTCCAAGGCTAGTTTATTCAGAATATTAATAAGGCCCACTCTGGAGACTTTACTAAGTGATCTAGTCCAAGGCTCTTTCTACTCTTACCGTTCAAAATTGAATTTCTCCCAATGTGTGAGTGCTCTGGAATCTTTGACCTTATTCTCCAGTGGTTTTCTTCCCTCTGGTAGTTATTTGTTGCCCAGTGTCATGGAGTTTTGTCCTACAACATGTCAGCATTCAGCTAAAGGATTTAGTGGATTGCTGTGCAGATTTGTAGTTCTTTCACTCTATGATTTCTTCCTCTTTGGTTTTCTATCCTAAAATTATTCTTGTGACCTCAATATCCTTTAAAACACTGATTATTGTTTCCTTTGAGTATCAAAACTGCTATCTTTTGCTTGGATTCTTCCTGTCAGCTGTTTTCAGGAGCACTCCTCCTATTTTATCTCTGAGATTGTCCTCAGGTCATGCTGCTTGTATTCCAGTCTGCAACAAAAATGATTTTTGACTATGAGTTCAGTTTCTTCATCATTTGTGGCTGAAACTCTGTTTCCATTTATTACTCTTGCTTGGTTTTTATCAGTTTTATTTCTGTACAAAATCACTCTTGCTTATTTACTTTGTCTCATTTGTTTTCCAATTGATTTCTGCTATTTTATTTCCCCAGAATTGATAATCATGTTGGCTTTTGTTTGATTCTTTCTAATTTCTTAAAGTGAACAAATTATTGATTTTTATTCTTTAATAATGGAATTATAGCTATTTAATGCTAAATTTCCCTTTCAGCACTACTTAAGTGTCAGTTTATGTTTTATTTAATGTTTTCATTATCTTTCAATCAAACATATTTAATGTTTTTTATTTTTGTTTCCTTTTTAATCTATATACACATGAAGCTTTATTATGGAAAGAAACCTAATAACTGACAGATGTCAACTTTTAATTTCAAGTTAAGTAACATGTAATTTGAGGAATCATCATTTTAGTCTGAGAACATCAAGAAATATGTTGCTCTTTGTCATCTTCTTTGAACTCTATGTATCCATTATGTTTTAAGCACACAATTATGATGACATTTCAAACTCTTGGAGCCAGTAGTAACTATGCTGACAGATTAAGATCATTACCTGATCTCAGGAACCCTAATTGGCTAGATGAGGTTTGGGTATTTTCAAATTATTTTCAGATTTAAAGCAAGTCCTAAGGGAAAATAAACACATTTCCTATGGAGTTATGGCATGCTCTCAGATCCTGGATTAATTAGACAAAGAATTTCTTATAATTTCTCAGAAGGGATTATAAATGTTTAATTCTAACCTTCTTACCAGAAAAAAAAAACATTTCATAAAGGACCTTTATTTAATATCTTTCAAAACTCATTGCTTAATTTCTGTAGCACAATAACCTGGATGATTAATAATTATTCCAGATATTTAGACACAAATGGCTCATTATTTTTTGCACTGTCATATTATTAGAATCTTTATATAATTATATTACATGTGCTTGTCTTTTCCTTATCCTGTTCCCTTCTAGAAACGTGTTCAAAAAATGATATAGAAATAAAGAATGGGTTTCTTTATGAATCTGATTTTATATATAATCTAAATAAAATAACACAATATAAGTGCAAACCAGGCTATGTAACTGAAGATGGTAAAACATCGGGATCAATTACCTGCCTCCAAGATGGATGGTCAGCTCAACCCTCCTGTGTTAGTAAGTGGTTTATTATATTAGTATCATTATTCTGGTGATATACAAAAGTTTAACTTTATTCTTTCTTTTTGTTTGCCTATTGAAATGTGGTTTCATTTTAATAGGCAAACAAAAACATTTGATGAAAAGTATATGTCATCATTTTTTTCTCACAATTGCTAGAATGGTAGAACATAAGTACATCTTTCCTCCCCTGACACACATGTTAAAGAATACTATGATTTAGAAGTGACTCAGAGAGTTTCATGTGTATTCTGGTGCTAACTCATTTATTTTAGCTGAGCTCTTTGAAACTGTTAGGAGTAACTGTGTTTTAGGTAATCAACCTCTTATATCAAAGACTTTGCTTCCAGACATAAAAATAATGTTCATAGTGAAAATATGGGGACTTGGTATATAACCTCAGAATATTTTAACCATTATAACTTATATTTTTGATATTGTAAGACAGGTCTATTTCTGAAAAACCTCCCCCTTAAACATCTGCATAAACATGTAAGGTATTCGAAAGGAGGGAATGTTTCAAGATGTTTTTACTATGTTTAAAGATTTTCCTGCTATAATACCCAAGGTTAATGAAGATTTTCTAGGAATGATTATTTATGTTTATCTTATTAAACACAAAGTTATTCAGTAATATTTTGGAAGCAATACTTAACATATACTTTAAATGACATGACTAAGATATTCATTCTTACTTCTTAATTTCTATTCCTTATTTTATAATTTCTATGCTTAAAGCATCTAGCTAAATTCTGCTACCTTTCCTATCCTCTACTATCCCCCCTCCCCTCCCCTCCCATTTTCTCTCTCTACCCCATCTACTGTAATTCATTTGGAAAGTGGGTAAACAGGACATGAGACAGTATTCATCCAGAAAATATTTCTTGAGTATAAACTAAGATCCAGGTTTGCTTGAAACAAAGAGCCCAGATACTGTCATCTTAGTTCTAGTTGGGCAGCCCTCCCCTCTCTGAGAAGCCAAATGTTTCTGTAGAGCTGAGCAAAGCAGAACTCTGCAGACCTGCTGTTGGCTGAGAAGATCTGATGTGAAGACAAGAGTTTACTTTGAGACTTTACTGTAGAAGTTCCCAGGTGCCTGTATGTCTGCTGCCCCCAATCCCCTACCAGCCCCTCTGTGGCAAGATATAAAAACATGTTCAATAAAAGATGGATTTTTTTTCTGAAAAAAAAAGAAAAGAAAAAGCATCTAGCTAAAAAATGATACAAATTGCTGCCTTATAAAACTCATCATATGCTAAATTCTGATAAATAGCCCATTATGAAACTTTCTTATTAAGAAATATAAAATCTTATTTAAAATACATTAATACTTTGTTAATTAATCCACATTTCTTCTATTATGTCACAACTGATAAGACTGACATCTTAATTCTCAAAATGCCATTCCAGTCTTCTAAAACAAGTAATACATATTTATTTTATTACTAGCATTTATTACTATTTTATTACTAGCATCAGATAAATGCTTAAATAAAATAGAATTTTAAAAAGTTTTTAAAATAAACTTTTTAGAGAGTTTAAGCAATCAGATAAAGGTTATGTAGGAACATTTTTTATTTATAGTAACTTTCAGAAAAATGATTTATCATTGGTCTTAGGCTATTTTTGTACAGTACTTAATTCTAATCACATATTTACTTATAAAGTCTGTGTTCTTGGGTTGAGATTTACTAGTATTGTCATTTAAATTACAATAAAAATAAAATCCTCAATTTTATTATGCATTAGAATCTTGTGATATGCCAGCATTTGAGAATGCTAAAACCAAAAGTAACGCCACCTGGTTTAAACTCAATGACAAGTTGGACTATGAATGTAATGTTGGGTTTGAAAACAGATTCAGGCGTGCCAAAGGATCCATAGTATGTCAGGACAATGGATGGTCACATATACCCACATGTTATGGTAAGTACTGTCTCAGAACTTTGTTTTTGTTTTCAATATAAAAAATAAATCTGCATGTGTTTAATTTTTAGAAATTTGAATTACCTAGAGATATTTTTAAAGAACAACATGAAATCATGATGTTCCTTCTGATTTAACAAACTGGAGGAAAGAGCATTTTCAACATTAAAGATAATAATCTATTTTTAAAGCAGAGAATTAAATTAATGCCTCTTGTAGGCCATATACAAAGGATTGTTTGGGTTAGTAGGCTAAATAGTCCATGTAACCTTTTTTTGCCATATTTCTGTTATGTAATGCAGCCAAGGAAATCTAATTACATTATTGTAGTTTCTTTGATATGTCCAATTAGAAGACTATAAAAATGTGGTGGATTTGGCAAAATGGGGCTCCTTTTGGAAATACTGGTATTGGTTGCCATTAAGACCACCCAATTTTGTAACAAGAGGAAGTAAAGAACATGGGTGTGTAAATCTAATGCTGGAAAGAATCAGAAACTGATGATTCTATTGTATTTTGAAGTATGAGACAAAGGCATTGAGATTGAATAGTGCATGAGGGAAAGAGGATGAGGAACACTGTGTAATGTTCAAAGGCTTGAATTTAAATGGTAGTAGAAGATGCCACACCTTGAGACTTGATTGGCAGCATTGAGCATCCACTAAAATTTAATTCATTTGGGAAATCAAGAAATTCCTTTTGTAAGATAGGGGAAAATGATAACACACACACACACACACACACACACACACACAAATTCAGTTCTGCTTTCTAGAGTTTTCATTGCAGTATCAGAGAATCAAACCAAAATCCAATGAATTAAGGCATATAATAAACCAATTAATAAAAATAGTTTAAGAATGTTTATATATGTGATTATAAGCAGATACATGCTGTGTGCAGCTAGAAGCTTTTACGATAAGTGTCCATCTTCAAAAAAGGCTGGTGCATTAGCTTAATGATAGAGTGCTGGCCCAGCCCAAAGCCCTGGATTCAATCTCCAGCACTGAATGAGACTTATGAAAATATATGATTCTTATTGCTTTTCCACTGTCACTAATGAGAGTTATGAATATATGATTCTTACTGCTTTTCCACTGTGAAAATGTGCAGAAGAGGTGAGAAAGTAAGAGTGACAGAGATATAGCAATAGAAATGAATTCAGTCAAAGTAGCTTATTATTGCCAAATTTATGAAGACTAATAATCACATTTCCAGGAGATGTAAGTCTCCATATATTGAGTGAATAAATGACAGGTTAGTATTTTTACCTCAGCCATGAAGCAGAAAACTGCACACAGATTGACAGATATACAATTTTATTTCAAATGTCCTGGGAGTTCTTTTCTATGGGGAGATGTTTACATTATTATCTTAAACCACTTAAGCAAAACAGACTTACAGAAATCTTAAAGTAATAAACACCTTAGAGTAAAAAAATCCATACTAACATTTCTGTTCATCAGCACTAAGATATATGATTTGGACTTCTAAACAAAGACAAATATTTATCATCCAGTGTTTGACAACTCACACTAGGCCAATCGATAAATGGCCAAAAGAACTAAACAGAAACTTCTTAAAAGAAGAAACTCATCATGCTAAGCGAAATAAGCCAATCCCCCCAAATAGGGGCTGAATGTATTCTCTGATAAGTGCATGCTAATCCATAATGGAGTGGTGGATGGGGTGAGTGGAAGAACTTTGGAATGAGCAAAGGGAAGGCGGGGAGGGGATATGGGGGTAGAAAAGATGGTGGAATGAGACACACATTATTACCCTAGATACATATATGAATGGTGTGACTCTACATCATGTACAATCAGAGAAGTGAAAAATTCTGCTCCGTTTATGTACAATAAATCAAAAAGCTTTCTGCTGTCATGTATAACAGCTAATAAAAATGAATAACAAAAAAGAAACACAAATGGTCAACAAATATATGGAAAAATGTTCAGCATCTCTAGCAATTAGGGAAATGCAAATCAAAACTACACCAAGAGATATAGACTGTAGACCAAGAAAGTACACTTGAAAGGAATCAGTAATTATCAATATCATGAATAATAATAAATGCTGGAAGGATTTTGAGGAAAAGGTGCACTTCTGCATTATTGATGGGACTGCAAATTAGAACAATCACTCTGGAAACCATGGGGAGATTCCTCAAAAAAAAAAAAAAAAAACCA